TCAGCAGGTCATTTTTCAGAGAGTGCAATTTTTGAAATGCAGTGATATCTGCCTCTCTGACACACACACACACACACACACACGCACACACTGCCTGTGTCTCACTCGTGCTGTGTTAGCAGGTACAATATCAGAGGTGTCACTAATGGTTTTAAACTATGCACTTTTATGTTCACTTCTCTCTCTCTCTGCTCTCCTCCTCCTCTGCTCTTCTGTCTCCTGCTCGGCTATCTTCTCTCTGTTCTTTCATAGAACAAGGACGCATCAAGACAGTTTGCCTTAAAGAAGTCTAAAGAGATGCCAGAGGCACAGAGGTAGAAAGAGACACAGAAAGAGAGGAAACGTCTGCTATTTAAAATTTATACTTTCTTATGCCTTTGTTTTGAACTTGAACAGTAGAACTTTCCGAAGTCTGTCTTCTGTTGTTCTCGGACTAAGACGCAGGTGTAGTGTGTGTGTGCATGTGTATGTATTGAACACTTTTGTTAACATTAGCTAAAGTGATGAAGTGTGTGTATACTAAAACTGTTTTGCAGTTGTAGCACTTCCAGCTGGTGTTGGAGCTTGCTAATGTTCCGATCGTTCATTCTCGTTCACCATCACCACTGTCACAATAATCACAATCAGGTGCTGCTGTTTCCATCTCGGGGTCCAAGTATGCAGTCAAGTCCATGACAGGGGTCTCTGCCCTTGGCCAATGCTCCCAAACATTAGCTCTTGGAGATGGTAACATGCTATCAATTCAGGAAAAAAGAACTTTCAATTCAACTGAAACTGGGAGTTGGTTCCATAGGAGAGGAGCTTGATAGCTAAAGGCTCTGCCTCCCATTCTGCTTCTGTGGACTCTAGGAACCACAAGTAAACCTGCACTCTGAGAGCGAAGCGCTCTGGTGGGGTGATAAGGCACTATGAGGTCTTTAAGATACGATGGAGCCTTGTCAGGGCTTTGTATGTTAGTAGAAGGATTTTAAATTCTATTCTGAATTTTACAGGGAGCCAGTGGAGAGAAGCTAATATGAGAGAGATATGATCTCTCTTGCTAGTTCCTGTCAGTACTCTGGCTGTAGCATTTTGGATTAACTGGAGGCTTTTTAGGGAATTATTGGGACATCCTGATAGTAAAGAGTTACAGTAGTCCAGCCTGGAAGTAACAAATGCATGGATCAGTTTTCCAGCATCACTTTGAGACAGGATGTTCCTGATTTTAGCAATATTGCGCAGGTGAAAGAAGGCAGTTCTAGAAACTTGGTTTATGTGTAATTTAGAGGACATATTCTGGTCAAAAATGACTGCAAGGTTCCTCCTCAACCATTATACTTCCTTTTTGTAGTCTCCTCAATCTCCTAGCAGTCACTACAAAGTCTCCCCACTGAAAATGCCCACTACCCACATGCATACACACGTGTTTATTGTAGGATTGAAGTTGTCCCTCCGGATCTTGACTAGCAATAGAGCCTTTTACAGAATGACAAATTGCTACCAAGGGGCACACAACAATGTAATGTCGACCTTCTCACCCGTTGGAAAAAAACTCATTCCTTCTTACTTATTGCATTGTTTGCCCTGGTTGTTGCTTGTTAATACTGCTTATTATTTTTGTTATCTTACACAGCCTTATGCTGGTTTACTGTTTACTTGCCCCTTGCATGGGAATATGTACATAAACATTGAGAGCCGATGTACCAGAGTCAAATTCCTTGTATGTCCGACACACCTGGCCAATAAAGCAGATTCTGATTCTGATATCCCGGATGTTGATAGACTCCATCTTGTGCACAGAGGCAATTTCAATGACTCAGAAGATTATCTGACTTGGGTTTCTGTAATACGAGAGTCACAAGCCGGGATCTAGGGTGACAGCTACTTACCAAGTCTCTCAATAAACCTGAAGTGATACAATAATTATGCCATACAATTGCACATTAATGCAACTCCTCGCTTTTAATGTTTATAAAGGGTTTATCGTTTCAGTATGTTTCTGACCAAGACCTACAGATTTATATGGTGGCTCTGTGCAGACTGGTAGGCAGGACAGCCTTTACTGTTCCTGGTGTGTACCTGTTGGAGGTGTAGCAGCACTGAGTGGCACACTCTCAACACAACCCTGTGTGTTACACCCTCTGATCCTGAAGCTGTAGTTGGTGTGAGGCTGCAGATTCGTCACAGCCAGCCAGCTGCCTGCTGCTGTGCCTCCATCTAACACACCATCACCATCTAATAGACAGAGAGTCAAAGACAGACGTGTAAGGTCTTAGGCCAAGCATATATATCTAGTGAGCAGAGTGTGCTGCATAGATTATTTCCATGGTACATCTGTTTATTAGAGTCATCACAGCGATGGCAGAAAAGTGACTTATAAAAGATACCTACCTACCAGGAGAAGAGAGAAGAAAATGTGTGAGAGTTGAAGAGAGAGAAATAGTGACTGAGATTAACTGAGAGGGATCAAAAGGTTTCCATACTGACGTTATGCAAGAACAGTCAAAGACAGAGGATGAGAAAATTACACTATGTAAACCTGTCGAACACTTTTAGATGGACACACTCACACAAACATCAGTTCTGTGTGAACTGATGAAGGCAGTGCATATCAAAGAAACAAGGGGTTATGGGTAACTAGAGCGAATCGCCATCTCTCTCTTTCTTCCACACCTCTTCTCTTCTTCTCTCCATTCATTGTAATCTGCCTGTTCCTCTGAGGTGCAGATCAAAGTCTCTGACTTGGTGTGTGTGTGTTTGACAGAGGGACAGAGAGATATTTGGTAAATATGTGCAAGTTCAAAGATGTGTGTGTGTGTGTGTGTGTGTGTGTGTGTGATCCACTGTGTGCGTTCCACCATGCCCCTGTTCTCATCTCGTCCAATTTTCTTTCCATGTCCACTTCTTCTGGTCTACTTTTGTTGGTCCCTTCCAATGTGTTGTTGTTCTTCGTGTCTTCTGTTGTTTTTACCTGCAATCTTTTCTAATACATCTATGGAAATATGAGCTTCTCATCTCTCCTCTCTCTATATACTATTATTTTACTGCTAGTTGCCTTTCTTCTTCCTCGCATCTCTAGACTCCTATACCGTCTCTTCTCTCATGTCACTAACAATGCCAGAAAACCTAATCTTTTCTATACCACCCTGGTTTAATGACTCCTTTCAATTCCCCATTTCATGCCTGACTTTTAGTTTCAATGACACTGTCGGTGTGTGTTTCTGGATTAACGTGTGCATCTCTATCCATATTATACTGCTCTACTCATCTTTGAAAAACTTTTTCAAAAACACCCCGGGAGCCTTGAAATTGGTAATAATATTAACTGTGTTCATTGCAACTGCTTTACTCTCACTGGCCAATTTATTAGGTACACATGTACTATCTAATTGACTCTAACACAATAACACAATAACCCTGAAAACCAAATTAGAAATGTCATTGGCATTTATCATCTTAGGAATATCACGAGTGAGCCATTTCAATCAAGCATAGATACTGAAAGACAAATAAAAGGTTTTATCCGTACCAGGTGTGTGATCTCATTTCTACACAGGAAAATAAACTGCAGATTATCCAAAACAGCAGTAGGGTGTGTATTGCACAGTTGTTAAGCCCATTCATTTGCACTAAGGAACTGATTACTGATTGTACAGATACAACAGACAGGTAAACAAAGCATGTGTGGTATCATTTTACATTCCAGCTCAGTTATAAAAGGGTAATAAGGGGCAATATACTGATAAAGGTATAATAATAATGTAATTACCAAAGTAATACCCAAGTAATATTTTGGAAATAACAATGGACATATCTCAATAATATTAGAACAAAATTTGTAACAAGCGGCCAAAACGTGTAGGCAATAATGTAAAAACAGATCTAATGATAACAATGAAGTTGAATTATTTAGAAATAGCATTATAAATCTTTGGTAACAATATGCTAACCTGAAATCAAAAGTAATGGTATAACAGTGTAACAGTTTAATTTTTCTGCTACTGGTTGTGATGGAGCAGTTTGTGAAATCTACTGTAACATGCTAAAGTCATGAAATTTTAGAGAGATGATTGGTTTAAGGTTAGGATAAGGGCTAGGAGTGTCCTCATAACTATAGTAAGAGATGGCTGAGATAAAGTGAGAGTGAGAGAGCACAGCTGTATGTGTTACCTTTGCTTTTGTAGTATAGTGTGTAGCTGAGGTTCCCATTCGGTTTGGGAGGAGCTGTCCAGCGGACCTGGATTGACCGAGAACTCTGATTGGTCAGTTCCAGCAGTACAGGGCCTTCTGGGATTGTCTCTAATGTCCACACCTCCACCTGATTTGAACCATAATCACAATTATGTTCAAACACACAAAGAATGTGCACCTACTGGCCACAGCAGTCTTCCTCTTGTCTCTTGCACCCTACTATCACCTCCTCCTGTCTCTCCCGTTACCCTCTCCTCTGCTGCCCTTCACATCCTCACATTCCTCCTGTTTCTGAGTTTGCTTTGACCATATACTTTGTCCTCATTATTTCACTTCTATCCCTAAACCCTCTTCCTTCACCCCCCCAACTTCCCATCCATCCCACCATCTCTTCCTTTTCATCCTGCTCTTACCTTCTCCTTTTACCCACCTTCCTCTCCTCCTGTTCTGCTGGATCAGCAGTTCTCGCTGTGTTTGACTAAATATGGCGCCCATATTGGAAAAATGCCCCAAAATATGGCCTGTTGTCAGAGCCACAGTTGAGGGTGGAGTGGCATTTCCTACCAAATGTCACTGTCGCCATGCCAACCCTCGTTATTGAGTTGAGAGAATCAATCACCTTTATGAAGCCAGCTCTCTCTCACACGCACACGCACACGCACACACACACACACACACACACACACACATACACACACACACACTGAATGTCTGAGCAGGCGGTCTCAACCGCGTGTGTTTGTGTGTGTGTGTGTGCTGGTTACTCTCAGTGTTAATTTGCCTGACAAAAACATCAGTTTTGCTGTTTTAGCACTTTTTTTAAGCAACAATTGTGCAATGATTCACATGATAGAAATTTTGTCAATGTTTTGCTAGTGTTGGGTAGGTATAGATATTATATTGGATAAGAAAGGTTAGCCGTCCCTGGTAGGCTAGTGGTTAAGGCGCAGCGATCTCGCCACTGCAGCCCGGGTTCGAGTCAGGAAGGGCATCCGGTGTAAAACACGTGCCAAATGTCAACATGCGGGTCGTCAGTGTGACAGTCCTTTGCAACTTCTACAGCTGCATCATTGAGAGCATCTTGACCAGCTGCATCACTGTCTGGTATGGCAGCACTACTGCTATGGACTGCAAGCGTCTGCAGAGAGTGGTAAAGACTGTGGAGAAGATCACCAGGACTCCACTGCCCTCTCTGCAGAGCATTTACCACTACAGGGTGTGTAGGAAGGCTGCCTCCATCCTCAAAGATCCCACCCACCCCCAGCACGGATTGTTCTTTGCCCTCTGGCCAGAGGTTCAGAAGTGTGAAATGTAAGACCACTAGACTGAAAAACTGTTTCTTTCCCTCTGCCATCAGACTCCTAAACAGCTGAGGAGTTTATTACCAGGAAATACGTGGTGTACTATTTACATTCTCAGTTTGCACATGCATAATTGCACATTGACTGTTGACTGCTGCACATGCTGCTTCCATGCAGCATACATTCGGTTATATTCTTGTATATATTTTTTTCTACTATATTGCTGCATCTGCGCTGCTTAAAGTGCCTTAGATTTTGTGTTATTTATCTACTTTATATTTCATTTGTATTTTGTGGTATTCATGTGGACGGCAAAGTAAGAATTTCATTGTACAGGGAAACACGTTTCCTAACTGTGCATATGACAAATAAACACTTTGAACTTTGATTCGCTGTGGCAACCCCTAAACGGGAAAAGCCAAAAGTGACTTTCTATTGGATAAGAAAGGTTGTATGTGTGCTGTGTTTTTGGTGGTGGTAAATATACTTCATGTGGAAAAAAAATACTGTGCCATAAGAAAAGAAACCTAAAATAATAATAATATTAATAATACTAATAAAAAAAGAAATGTTTCTAAGTGAGTCACTGACCGCTGGTCCCTTGCCACAGCCCAGTGCAGTACAGGCCTGCAGCCTGAGAACGTGTCGGCTCCACGGAGAGAGTCCCTCAACCACAAAGAACCTCTGGGGAGAACTGGAGTTTAAAATGAGAACTCCATCCAGCCAGAGGCCATAGCGGGTTATAACGCCTGTTGAAAAGAACACGTGATCAGTCACCATCAGTCAAGCAAGTTGTAGTGTTTACTTTTCCAAAAGAAGTTTACTGCACAGCATTTATACATAACTGAAAATACAGTCCACACTATATTTGTTTTTAGAAATCCATTCATTTAAACATGATGTAAACATCGTTGTAGTGTCTTGGCCTCGAAGTGTGTTACATGTTTTCTTTGGCATCATTATCAGAACTTGTTTTCTAAGATGTTCACATTTTTTCCGAAGACATTCACACTGTATTTGCATTGCTCACTCATATGTTTTGTACTGTATTTTCCTATGTAGGAGGACTCCTGCTCACAAAGCTGTTGGGCTGCAATCTGAGTTGGTGGATTACAATGCAAATGAAAAACCAACTTAGGGGCTCCAGACCTGCCAGTCAAGGTTGTGTCACATTGTAATTTGATGACACAAACATCACTGAAACAACAAATGTAACCATAGACACTGCATGGACAGTAGAACCAGAGCAAACACACACACACACACACACACACACACACACACACGTATGTAAGGAACTCACATGTCCACACACACAGGCACAATAATTACATTACATTACATTACATCTACCTAATAAAAATATGAAAGTGCAGTGCCAAATGTGAGCTTCCTTCATAAAAATGCATACAGGGGGCTCAAAAGATCAGTGCTAAGAACTAAGAGTCTATTCTGCTTTAATCATGTGTGGGTTTTATTATTGCTCAATGCCGATATACACACCTATCAGGAAAATGAAGACACAAAAACCCCACGGGCACCAACTACATCTGGGAAGCTCTTAATGTGGCCAATCACATGTGTGCGTGTGTCTTTGTATTACTTACATTATGGGGACCAAAACCTGTTAACACACTCACATTGTGGGGATTCGAGGCTGGTTCCCACAAAGAAATCACAACAGTTTAGGTGGCAACATGGTTTAAGTATTAGGGTCAGGTGTTAGGGTTAGGCTAAGTCTACAGAAAATGAATGCAAGTGAATGTAAAGTCCCCACAAGGAATGAAAACAGTGTGTGTGTATGGACATCTGTGTGGGCTTGTGTGTGTGTGAATAAGCCCATATCAGTATAGCCTGTAATAAAGACAGGTTGGGAAATGAAGCAGCGAATGCATAACAGGCTTATTTCCCCTCTTTGTCTGCATGTTGCCCCGACCTAATCCCCAAGAGGATTATCCCACACAAATCCCTGCAGAATTGTGTGCGTGTGTGTGTGTGTGTGGGGGGGGGAACCCATCCTCTGGATCCCATCACCACCATCATCACTGTAGTCGTCCTTTTATATATTAAAAAAAAAAGAGTAAACGGAAAAAATGAACTGAGCCTCTTGCCCTTTTAAAGCAAAAATTAAAGCTTTTTAAGCATGAGATAATCGGGTAATCATGATTAAGTGTCTCCCTTGTTATAAATTTCTGTCACCAGATGAGAAAAGCTTTACGTAATTTATCCAGGCTAATATCCACACACATCTCAGGGTTTATGGTGCAAAATGCGCTCATGTGGCATTAAGCGTAAAGCACACAAAGTCACATTACACACACATGCATTATGGAATTATATGTACTTTAACTAGCAGTAACGTGATAATATGTGGCGGTGAGTTTGCTGTGAAATGGGGTTTTCATCACGCAGCTCATTTGGTTTCATATGATGTAGCGTTTCTAAATACAGTCCTGGATAATTAGATATTAAATATTAGGATTTTATTTATTAAAAAATTCACAGTTTTCAGTATAGCATGTGCTAGGTAATGTACTGTAGCTATATGAAAATATATCGTACCTTTAAGAGTTGTATTAAGACACAGGGACATTATTCCAAAGGCGACATCTGATTGATGTATGTGCTATGTAATAATTCTTTACATGGCGAGTTTTCAAATTTTATCATGTTTCACAGGAGATTGATAATGCATCACTGCTAGTTTCTCACTGAAACACCATGGTATACTGTGTAGTTAAACTCTGAGGAAATGTTAACATATGCACTGGAATTCCAAACTCAAGCTGTACATCAAACTCCTTATGAATTGCTTTACTCTAAAACATCTGCCCACAGAAAACAGTTTTAACTTTTAACAGTTAAAACTTTTTTTAATCCAAGTCCTCTCCAAAATGCATGAAATACACCTCGGTCCAGCTCTCTGCGGTGGATTTTAACTGGCTGCAGGTAAATTATATGAAGGTAAAAAGAACAGAGAAAGGCAATCATGGGGAGTGTAGGTGCTTCCAGCCTGCAGTTCTCACTTCAGTCAAAAGGGAGCACTTTTCATCCACTTAAATGAGCTCAGTAAAACACTGCCCTCTCACTCATGGTCTCCGTTAGTCTCGGTCTCAGATGTTATGTTTTCTCAGTCTGTTCCCGTCTGTCTGTCTCCTTTATGCCTTCTTCTTTTAGTTTTTTCTTCCTGATCTTTTCTCTAATGATTCTCTACAGTATGTCTTGCACACCCATCTTTCCCTGGCACTAAGGGAAATGTTCTCCTGCTTCTTCGTCACATGTACAGCATACCTGGACCACATACTGTAACGGTCAACTGCTGGTTCTGTGATTGACTGGGTTGCAGTAAATAAATCAACGTTCTGTTAACGAATCTCTTCCTTCTTCACTAGTTCCCAACTGCCTAGCTGGATCTTAAAAAAATGCCATTAAAAATACATTCATGTGGTAGATTGAACACATCTGTTTGTGTTTAGCTCAAATATATTGATACTGATAAATGTAGAAGTGAATGATTTTAGTTATGTATTTACTATATGTGCTAAATTGAGTCCTCTCACCGTTCAGAGTGCCCGGAGGTATCCAGCTGACATTGAGTGCATGTGGGGACACAGGTGTGACCAGAGGTGCAGGAACATTCTCTGGGGTGCTCTCCTCAGTCTGAGCCTGGCTGGGAGGGCTTATGGTGCACCCGCCTCCTGTGCAGGCCTGACACACACACACGAATGTATGGGTGAAGGCGGTGATGCAAATCTATAAATGAAAGAGTAAGGGACTCACAGCTACTGTGATGGTGTAAGCTGTTCCAGGGGTCAGGCTGCGAAGTGTATGGTCCTCAGAAAGTTCTGTGCTGTTATAGACAAGTACAGGCTCTGCACTGCCACGCGTCAAGAAGATGCAATAAAACTCCAACACACCGTTGACCTGAGAGGGCCGGGACCACCTGGACATGGAGAGAGAAAACACACTTCCGCCTTAACATCTGTGTTTATGTAGCTCAAAATGTTTGTTTTTGATAAGATAGAAACATATTCCTGTAACGCTGGGCAGAACATGGTGGAACCCATCTTACATTGTGCAAAATACAAAGCATTTGATCATTTTTCCTAGATTTTGTGAATCTAAAGAATCCATAAATAAAGGAGCAGCAAAACACTTTTATAAATAGTCCTGCATTTCTTACAAATCCCGAAGAGTAACCCAGCCCTCCTGGCATGGAGACACCATTTTTAAAATTGATGGATTCCTTTTTTTGTTGCACTCATTAAAAGCCAGTTGCTCAATGACTGATGACTGTGTGTTAACACACAATTAGCCACTGTGGCTAATCTGCCACATTTAGTCTAAGATTTAGATGCTTTCGATTGGCAGCGTGAGGTATGTCCACTTCTGAAAAACTACAAAGGGGAGTTGCAATAATCTGTTTTAGAAAAGAGAATGTCATGAAATTAGTGTGCAACGGACAAACTTGAGATGCAGAGGGTTGAAATTCTACATCACCATCTATGAAGCATCCTCCTGTCTCCCTCCCACATTTCCTGCTGTTTTCTACACTGCACACAAGAAAAGAGCCTTGGTGCCATTACAATAAACAGAATAAGAACTGAAGACTGAGTAAAATCTGTGAAAAAAAAGTCAGGAAATTCATTTAGGATTGTTTTAGCTCAGCCAGGTTCTGTGTTCCGCTTCTGGCCTAAATGTCTCATCAGGTTGTCTATATGCTTGTGACGTGCACGTTTTTGAAGTGTGTGCGTGTGTCTGTTTGCGTATGTGTCAGGTGAGGGCAGGGAATAAATCTCCTATTTGTTCACATGCTGGAGCCTCCCCCTCAATCTTTCTCACAGCCTCACTCTCATGCACAGTTTATCTCGCTTTCTTTTTAAACGCTTCTTACATTTTTCTTCCTTGTTTCCTTTAAAACTTAACAATATATTCTTCTTCCCTTCTTCTCCTGGTCCATTTTGTCTGTCTTTGCAGAGTTATTCTCTCGCCATCTCTTTGTGTTCACAGTTTTTCTCACAGACACAATAGAGGGGTATTGACCAAGTATGATCTCTCAACCTTCGTCTATTACCAATGTGCTAACAAGGCAATATGCAGACTTCCCACACCTGAATATATAACCAGAGAACAGTTTAAAGGCTCAGGGTAGGATACATATCCCTGCTCTAAACAGACAGCAGTTCTCTCAAGTATTATTCCCACAGTAGAAGTTCATGATTCAATCTGTTTATAGTCTACAAATAAACAGTACAGGCCTCATTAATGACATTTTTATGTTGAGATAATTAAGGGTGGTTTCACATTTGGGACCTGGGCCCGGATCCGAGCCTACTTGACTCCAAAGTCTGGTTCATCTACTGATGAAAGTTCTGTGTATGTACTTACTCCACCAGAACAGTTCGAGAGTCTAGCAGGGTAAGATTTGGTGCTTGTAGAGGCCCAGGAGGAAGCTGAGAGGTCAGCGCTGTAACTTGTGAACTGTTAGTGCATCCTGCAGAAGTGCATGCACTCAGTAAAATGACATGGGTGGAGTACACAGCAAGACCTGAAACAAAAACACTTCAGTGAGACAGCAACAAACAGAGAAAGGTATAAAATACACCCAAGCACAATGTTAGTAGTGCAACATAGTTCAAGCCTGAATTGTGTCATTAATTTCAGCTGATCTTACACCTTGTTACTATGAGCGGATGTAACCCTGATTCACTCCGGGCCCCTGTGAACTCCATTCTGCTTTTAGCTTTGCTTCTATATCGCTGTTTCTCTTTCAGTGTCTACATCTGTCACTGCCTCAAAACTCTTCCCCATCTGTCCCACTGTTGCAATCTCATTCTCTGTAATGCCATCTATTCTTGCACATATTGTATAATGACTACGTTCATAATCCTTCCAATCACTGTGAACATCAGACACTTGGAATTAGTAACCCAGCGTGGATGATATGAGCTCTCACACATTCATTATCTTACAGAGACACACTCTACACTGCCGGACAATGTGATGTTTTGTTAACCATGTGAGTCTGTGTTTAAAATCAAAGTGAGTTCTAATCTATTCGGCTCATATAAAATGCCATATGTGTACTGGATGCCTACATATGTTCCACTGAGAGTGTGTGTATGTTCATGTGTTTGATTCAGCGTGTGAATTTGCATCCTGGTGCAGCACTTTTGTCACAGTGGTTTGGCATGTGTTTTATACCTTCTTCAACTCTTTATAAGTGAGAGCTCTCAATGCAAATGGTGTTTATGTATGTGCGCTCATGTTTAGTGTTCATTGTTTCTCGGCTGCTTCATTTTCGTGTGCCTTTGCATTACTTGCGTTATGGGGACCAAAACCTGTTAACACACACATTGTGGGGACTCAGCTGAATCACTGAATTTTAGGGTGGCAGCAGGGTTTAAGGTTAGGTGTTAGGGTCAGGGTTAGGCAAGTAGTGGTTATGGGTAAGGTTAGGATAAGTCTACAGGAAATGAATGTAAGTCAAGGTAAAGTCCCCACAAGGAATGAAAACACTGCGTGTGTGTGTTTAGTGCTCTTTTTCAAAGTGCTATTCCCTTGGTAAGGTCTGAGATGCTCTTTCAAATGCTAATCCCCCACTCCAGTTTGCTTTTCCTCAGTCTTTCCCTTCTCTTTACACCGAAGCCCGGTCCCTCTACTGTCACAGCCACGCTGCAGCACGTACACACAAACGCACATGGTCTTTACCAGTGATGTTGTGCTGCCTGTCTTTCCCCCTGTAGACCATTTGGCTGTTGTGATAGAGGAGGTACTCTGTAATATCTCCATTGGGTCTGTCATTGAAACAAAAAAGTGAAAGGATGTCATATTTAACAGATACTATTGTGATATCAAACTCTACTATGTGCTCAATCAGGGCATGTGTGTTCAGGGTGAAGCACATACAGTACAACATTATGTTCATTTTCTGAGATTATGACTTAATTTACTAAACCAATACTGCCTTTCATATAGTCTTGAAGTACCTAGGAGGTGAAGGCACTATGATAGAAGATCCGCTGTGTGTTATTACCTTGCTGGAGGTTCCCAGGTCACAAAGAGAGCTGAGGGGGATGTGACTGCAGCCGGAGGAGATACAGCACCCGGAGCTGAAATTGTAGGAACATAAAAATATGCTGGAGTAATATGATAACGTATAAGCAAACATTACATCCTCTTTTCTAACACCTTATATTTTGTAATAATTGTCATCATACTGTAAGAATACAATGAAACAAGAAAAACATTCATTACCTAATAGAGTCAATAATAAAGGCATATACATTAAACTAAATGAAAAATTATGGTAAGTCTAGATTTTATAATTTTATTACATCAGATGTCAAATTCAAAATGCGGCACATATGAAAATCTTAATTTCATTTCATATCATATTAGAAATTGGCACAGCTTCAAATTACTGTTGAAACTGTGCAGACTGGAGAAGAAAAAGTGAAAAGTTTATGATCTTATGTTCCTTTTCATCTGTTCACGGAGAAGCGAGTAAAAACACAGCAGACACTGGTGAAAGAGACTTCTGAATAAGTTCTTTCGCCTGTGCTCCTACCATGGATCAGTGTCTTAACTGTGCTCAGTGAGAATCAATACAGTAATCTGTTTTTTTCCTTTCACTTAAGATTGATTTTCGTCGTCTCTGCACTGACCCCTGCCGTCACATTATCTCAACAAGGCCAGTTAGTCCAACACAGATTAATGTAGCCACTAACATATGAAGAAAAATCTCTCTATTGTTCTTCCACTTTTTCTTTCCTTGTATCCTCCGTCCATGACCTCCTGGATGAGAAAAATGTCGCTCTTGTTCATCTATCTTCCATTATCATTTTGCGTCTTGTCCTATCAAGCCATCTTACGTCTTCCTCTTCGTCTCCCCTCCGTGTTCCTGTTTATTTACTTCTGACTTGTCTCACTTCCTTATCTTGCTCCTCTTCTCTCCTCTTAAGAGCTAAATGTCTCTGTCATTGAGGAGACAGGATGAGAGCTTCTGAGTGCGTTTACGAGTGTGTCTCTGTGTGCCTGGATGCAGAAACTGTCCTAAAGTAATGCCACTGGTAAAAGACAGAGGAAAACAGAAGTTCTGTTCACGGGTGTACGGATGTGTGTGTTTCTGCTTTGCAGCCTTACCTTCCTCTGGGGTTGTGAAGCTCAATCTCAAATCATTATCACCACTGTCATTACGGAGACTCTCGGTGCAGCCAACAGGACTACAGGCACTTACAGTCACAATGTATGGAGTGGCTGGAGAGAGGCCTGACAACACACCTGGAGAGGAGGAGAGCATGAACATTTCATGGAGGACGTAAGGCAGAGAACACCAACACAAAGAAGAGCCAGAGAGAATTCTGTCCCAGAAAGATTTTGCTAAGCCTCATGTTAATTTTGGCAGTACTTTAGAAAGTACTTTTGCAGTGTATACTGTATAAGGGAGTTTAAATACAGATGTAAGATAAAAAGTGTGGCCGGTGCTTTAATATCTTGTCTTTTAATGCCTTTTTCTATCTCCGTTTAGTAACTGTTAGCTGTTGTTATTGATGTGTGTATCAAACAGCTTCAAGAGTGCAATTTAAATGCTTTACTTGTTTCTCTGTGCCACTGTTGCTAAGCAAATTTACTGCGTTTGGCAAACAAAGAAAGTACATTCTAATTGTAAATCTTCAGTCGTCTCTCTCCAATCCTCTTTGTCCTAGCCGTCTCGGACCTCAACATTTCCTTTCTGCAATTCATCTTTTTTTTTTTTTTACACATCCCCTCTCTTCTCCCCCACCCCCTCCACCCCTCTCTGTGTCCAGTCACTGTGCTTGTCTCTCTTTCTCTACTTCTTGCTTTCGCTCTCTCTCTCTCTCTGTCTTTTAATTCAATTAGGGGCCTGGGCCCCACTCCACTGCCATTACACCCTCATTTGCTTTCTGTGTTTTTAAGCCGTTGGTGTAATTCTGCAGTCAGGTGTCGAGGCCATCATAAATTAACAAGAAACCTTATCACGGTGGACTTAATGTCTGGCAAACAGAGAGGGAGGGAACGGGGAGCAATGGGAAAGACACTGAGAAAGACGGAGACGGAGAGCTCATCTTCATATTTGCCTGGAGACATGGCAGAGTGTATGAGAGGAGGGACGAATAGCAGAAGCGGACACAGACATCATCATCATCTTCGTCATAAAAGATGAAGTGAGGAAAGATCGAAAAGTGAGCTACAGCGAAAGAGAGAGAGAGAAAGGGAGCAATGCCAGGCTATGACATCATTGGGGTAGTCCTGAGTGTCTCGCTCCAAATGGAGACAGTCTCCTGAAGCTGGGGACTTGCCAAGGAGACATTAACAGGGCTGCCTGGGACAGTGTGCATGTATGTGTGATTGTATGAAAGACAGAAGGAAGGCAAGTGAAAAAGGAATGTGTTATTATCGCTATGGGCCACAGGTTTCACAAGAAGTTGGCAGATGATCAGCTACAATAAGTTCAACAGGGCAATAGATGCAAGTCAAGTTAAATAATCCCTATTTCCACTTTATGCTTTATGACAAAGACCCATCACTCGTGCCCTCGGCATCGGCATCTGAAATGAATGTAGAAGATACATACAGACAATCGCTGGTGAGTGTTTTACCTGTTAAGTTTCCATTAGCCAGGTACACGACTTTGACAGGGGGTACTTCTGGCTGGTCTCTATTGTAGGCCTTCAACTCATATCGGTCAATTAGCCCTGTGATGACACCAGTGGGTGGCACCCACCTCACCTTGGCACTGAAGCCAGTCAAGCTCTGCACTGTGGTAGGAGGTGGTACAGACGTCGGTACTGCAGATAGCGGCGAAACGAGTCGAGATGAGCGGAGACAGAATCACAACAGGAGACACATCATAACTATGCAATAAGAAAGCAAGTAGGAGAATCAAAGACAAAAGAATAAAAAATCAAACAAACTGAAATTAGGCCACAAAATCCACATTTCAAATGAAATAAGTCAAACAAAAGCAAAATGAAAATATAAAAACGGCAGAAAAAGCAGCTCAACAGCACATGAAGAAAAAGTCTCCCACACCTCTTTGTGTTTTAATAGGCCCAGTAAATCATACCTCACCATTAGCATAAATAGTATTTATGAGAGTAGTAACTTTTTCAGCACTGATTTAATACAGCCAGCCATTCATTCTCTGCTATATTTCACAGCAATCAGCCTCCCTCCTTCTATATAGCACTCCCCTTCTTTCGCTTGCTGACACCCTTAGTAGTTCAGGATGGTCCTTCATCTTTCCCACTTCCCTCCATCTCTGTCTGTCTCCCTGCCACTATCACTGCCTGTCTCCATGCATCCCTCCATCTTCCTTTACATCTGGCCTCTTCCTCACTTAACCTGGACATAGCACAAATGCAGTGTGGCTGTCAGTGGCTGTAAAATTATACATACAGATTAGCAGATATTTTTATAAATAAAACTTACAAATGCTTACAATTTTATGTTCCATGTACAGTACAGAATATGATATGTTTAAAATTGCACTTCATTAAGGAGCTGCTTCATACTGTGTCCTGTAACTTCCTTTCTCCAGTACAACTTTCTCACCTTCTGTTACACCTTCCCGTTTTATCTGTCCCTTCACTACCCACACACCTTGCATCTTTCCTTTTCTCCTCCCACCCTTCCCTTCTTGCTGCCCGTCCTCCTCTCTCCTCCCACATTTCCCATCAGTCCTTGCTCCCCATCCTCCTCTTTTTTCCTCTCAGTTTTCAGCACTTTCTCTCTCCAGTCACATCACGGTGCACTGAGACCTACCAGTGTATCGTTCACTACTAACGAGCAGTTTTATGTTACACAAGAGACCACACAGGCCATTCTGAGTTAACAGCCTTTTACTGGGATGCCCTTTATAGTGGCCTTATCAATCTCTCATACATTCAGGCACACGTAATATCAATGGCTTCAAATACTGTAAGTCTCATATACTATATAAGACAGTAGTGGTTTTACATCCCAGATCTGTGAAGAACAAAGAAAAACACTATAGAACAAAGTCAGCCAGAGGAAATATTTACTCCTCGTGCCAAAATGTTTAGGATTAAATTCAGTTTCACTAAAACACTTTGTTAGTGGCTTATAAATGAAATTCCATTCCAAATTCCATATCCATTACACAGGATATGGAACAAACAAAGAGGGACACACACACAGTCTTCCACACACAGCACCCGTAGCTTTGGAGTACTTAAGGGTCTTAGTTATTATCTCATACCTTTAGTGTGTGTTAAAGATTTAGAAAAATGATACTGTAACAGAAACTGTGTATATTGTTTTCTACTGAAACTGCTCTTTGTGTGTGCGTGTGCATCTGCATGTTTGTATTACTGCTAGGATCTGCAGGTCATCATATCTGGCTGTAAAACATACTGGTCTGATAACACACATGAACAGTGTTTGTACTGTCAGAGGGATGAGGTGTCTTACCTTTGCCTCGGCTGCGTCCTCTCTGCCAAGGTCCTGCTGCCCAACCTCCTGCTGCCAAAGCCACAAACCTGTACAAGTACTCTTGAAAGGTGTGTGTTTAGACACAGGAGTAGTAGTTCAGGAAGCACGAGACAGAGAAGATACAGATTTATATTAAAAAGCTGGTATTATGGCCCTTGTTGACATTTTTTATAAACAGTGCATTTAAACACATTGGTGACATTTTATTCATACAAAATTGTTTAAATTTCTTTAAATCCATCTTCACAAACAGCCCAGATCCCCCTGTCGTCTAGCAGGCTGTTTCAGAAGTTAATAGAAAATGTACAGTATTTATGAGCGCCTACTTTGACTGGAGGTGATGAGTCATGTTCACCTCAGCCAATCAGAATAGGACCTAATGAATAAGTATTCTTTCAGTCAATCTTTACCTTGTGTAATGGCTGCAACTTGTTTATGTTTCCTAACATTTTTTTCAAAAGTAACACGAGGCAGATAGCTTAGCTTTAACACAGCTATTTTTATTTAGCTGAGTATAGCAAAGGAAGGGCTTATCCTCAAGTATCTGATTTCACAGTTGGGTATGATGTCTCAACATTGCTCGCTGTTAAAGTGGGAGATTAAAATTTTGAGTAACATAAACACACCACGGAGACATACTTCGGTGATCTGACATCAGATGAGGCCCTCCACTGTCACCCTCATCCATCTCAAAGCTATTTTCTGTTTTCCACCATTCCAGCTCTTTAAGAGAAAATATATTTGGAAAAGCTACATCACATATTCTCTACGGTTGTATGTAGTACATATACTACAAGATAATGAGCAAAGTCGTTAACTCAGATGAAAACATTGAATAAGGGACATTTACTAATGTCTGATGTAATGGAATTTTTAGCTGTAAATATTTATGGATCTCTTGGTGGGTAACAAAATGTTGGAGCACAGTTTAAGATTAAATAAGAGAACAATAATATAGAAAGTAATTTCTGATAATTATACTGAACTGCTAACACGGCGTTACTGCAGCTAAACGATGTGCCTTACAGTCATAAAAACGGGTCTGCATGTGCTACATAACTACCCAGTGACTCAAGCATTAAAGCCTAACCTTCACTTATTTATAAATACTGTACACTAACACAAACCTTACCAACAGCTGAGGAGTATAAAGTCACCTAAAAAAGTGCTTAACTTCACCAGAAGTTGGGATAAAAACATCACTGTGCACACTGTTATACTCCATATCTGAAGAACCGGCTGATGGATAGATATCGATCTTGTGTCATCTACATATTTTGGATATCAAGTACACCACAAACCTACTAAACAGAATTTTCCTTACTGAAAAATACTATACTTTTATCATATTTAAACTTTAGTTACGATTTATGAAAATGCTTGATAGTCGAATGCCATTTGACTTGGACTAAATGTCAGTTTTTATTGCCTGTTACAAAAAAGACTGGAGTGGCAATGCCACACTTTTATATCTGAGGAAGGCCCATCACTGCAATGCTGTTACTTTCAAAAACATATGTGTTGACAGTGTCCCCGAGTCCCACACTTGCATTTCAGGTGACTGTGGTCTTTGCATTAGGGTAGATATGTATATGCATACTGTGCATCATTACCAGTGAAAGGTTGTAGAGTAAAATCTGTGGCTTGTGTCTTTCGTCCGCTATACACCAACAGAGAATCATTCCCCCTGCAGCTGTACCAGCTTTCACTGGTGGGACAGCCATCTAAGTAGACTCTGACTGAACGGCGGGAGGCAACCGAGAGGTTAACACTTTGATTGACAGGAGGGTTTGTTTCATCACTGTGTACGGCGAGACCCCTTATGCAACCACCTAGTCCTGTGAAAGAGGAGAAAGAGGAGAAGAAAGAGTAGAAGAAGAAAAGAGGAGATACAAAGAGGAGTTGGGAACAGAGGACAAAGTGAGAAGAGTACATCTGTTTGAAAAATTAGTGAAATGTTTGCTTCATTTTCCATTTTAAACTGTTTAAATAAGCACAATTATCCTTCACTCAAATTTACAGATTTTGTGCTCAGACACCAACTTTCCCTTTTGCCATTCCCAAACCTGCTGTGGATAATTAGTCACCTGAATGCTCGCTACTTCAGTACTTGAATTTGCTATATTTTTATACTGCAGTAGAATAAACGCCTGCAAGCAAATGCCATTCCATTCACAAGGAGTCTTGGTTGGTTCATTCCCCTGCCAGATAGAGGAGCAGACACATCACAGTTGAAGTAAACATGACCTGCAAGTACTTTTACTTACAAGTGTATACCTCTACAAAAAAAAAAAAAAAACAACAAAGCAAATGCCCTGTCTGAGTAAATTGTATAGAAGTTTGTGGAAACCACGCTGTGTAGGTTCTTCTAAACAGCCTGAATTCCACACCAAGCACAGCCACATAAAACACCTCTTCTTGGCTGAATACATGTTGTCTTAATGGGGGGATATGCTAAAGAAATTAACTAAAGTTCAGGAGTGGGACCTGGGACCTTAAGCCGTCCCTGGTAGGCTAGTGGTTAAGGTGCAGCGCTCTCGCCGCTGCGGCCCTGGGTTCAAATCAGGGTTGAATAGCTAGTGAATACTGTTTGTGTGCATACAACACTCTTACCGTGTTTGTGACTTTGGCTGTCCAGAGCAGGATGTATGAGGTCCATGGGCACCCCCCCCAAGTATAAGGGTGAATCAACTCTTAGCTTCACTGGTCCTCCAATCGCCCTCGTCTCCTCTGCCCAGTCATCGACTGCAGCAGAGACGAGTGAGCCACGCTTTGCCAATGAGAACCGCTTCCAGTCTCCATCACAATAGTTAAGCCCCACCCACGTGCCTGAGTGTAGCGCAGATCTCCATATCCTTTTCCCCCAAACATTAAGTGCACAAGCACTCCTCCCTGCCATTCTTTCATATGGAGGGCAGGTCCCAGCTAGTGAATACTGTTTGTGTGCATACAACACTCTTACCGTGTTTGTGACTTTGGCTGTCCAGAGCAGGATGTATGAGGTCCATGGGCACCCCCCCCAAGTATAAGGGTGAATCAACTCTTAGCTTCACTGGTCCTCCAATCGCCCTCGTCTCCTCTGCCCAGTCATCGACTGCAGCAGAGACGAGTGAGCCACGCTTTGCCAATGAGAACCGCTTCCAGTCTCCATCACAATAGTTAAGCCCCACCCACAGGCTGAGTTCAGTCACATGACCTTCAGAGACAAGAATGAAGGACAAGAGTCCACCCTCCAGCTCCACCTGAAAACACACACCAAAAAATGCCACAAACTAATCCTCTGTCATGTGTTTAAGTTTTTTGTTTTGGAATTTTCAATATTTAAACAGTGATTTTAAATGCTTCTCTGCTCCTTACCAGCATGTAGTCTTCAGTTTGTGTGTTGTATGTGAAGAGCAAAAGTGCATTGAGCTGGTCTGTTCTGAAATCCATAGAAATTTCAAAGTCCTTTCCTCCACTGAATACATCTCTGCTCAGCTCCAAGTAACCTGGAACAAGGAGGAAACAATTACCAGCAGGCCAGTCTGCACCCAATTTCTTCTAAATAAGTTTGATTCACATTTAAACTGTTACATTTTAGGGTAAATGTTTTGAAATACTGTATATTCAAAAGTGACAGACAAAGGAGCAGACCCTTCTACAAAGCATTAAAGGATGAAATGGACCTGATCTCTTCAGAGGCCAATTAACTTATCATCATAGTTAAACATGAAACAACAATCACAGTGTTGCCAATGAATTAGGAACTCACTTCACTGTTCACTCTACCTGAACACGACTCACTCCACAGAGCTTCTCTCTGCAGTGCTAACACCCTGCTGCATACTGTCATTTCACAGTATGAAGCACTGTGCTACAGTTTCACCCACAATGGGCATCAATCTCTGTAGTATGTTGTAATATTGGTGTGAACTGTTCTTATGAAATGTGGAATTAACAAAATAAAAAATCATGATAACCATTTATATTATCAACAACAATCCAGAGTTTTACCATGGCCCAGAAAATGAGCTCCATCCACAGTGTGAAAAGGGCATCCCTCCCAGCTTTCATACACTGCCACCTTCTTTGTGGCTTTTGCCCAGTCCAGAGATTTCCACTCCTCTGTAAGGCCGTCAGTCATCTTAAAACTTATGTCTCTGAGGCAGCCAGAGAAACCCTGTCGCACCAGCTGGGCAGCACCTGGTGAGACAGACATGAATAACATAGCTGTCACTAAATGATTTCATTCCATGCTTCATAACTAGGAATCTTTCAACTTTTTTATTTAATTTTGTCACTAGTAATTTCCACGCAGGGCTGGTCATAAGAATGACAAGGAATTACCAATAACAATACCTGAATATAAAAATGATGACAAATTTTGTAATGGTAGGAAGTTGGTCTAGTAGTACTGAGACTGGACTTCACTCAGGAGAAAAAGGCACTAACCAAGAAGTTCAGACACCCAAAATGTGTCAAAGCACGAGTTTAAAAGTTAAAAATGATACAAAGTGAGTGTGTGGAGCTGGGCTTACAGTACCTAAATGATCTCTTGGCAGAGCAAAGTGTTGAGGCAGCCCTCCAATGAACACCCCCGTGTTCTCACCAGTAAAGGTGCTCCCACTGGAAGCTGATGCACTTCCTGGTCGTGATGGAAGCAGGATGGTGACATTACACAGAAACATAATTGGGTAAAGCAAAAGTGAGGAATGAAATAAGAAAATGCATATAATATCACAGCATTTACGGACAATAAAGGGATGGGACATAACAGAATAAGGGTAAAGACAATATGGGGGTAAGGTGAGGTTAATCAAGAAAGAAAATGAATAACATATGAGAACAACTGAGAAATGTATGTGCTTTTCTTTGTTGTATTTTTCCCATCAGACACAGAGCACCTGGATTAACCTGACTAATACGTGCATGCAGAGCTGAGGGATTTACAAACATAGAAACACACACGCACAGTTACAGAACTTGTCCATCTCATGCTCTTCGCCCATGTACACATTCTTGCATATACAGATGAGTATAAATGCAATACAGTCGCATTTACACTCACACACAGAGCGCACACAGTGGCCAGTATGAATATGAGAAGAGTTACCTTTGTATTGATCGTCTACAATGATTGTTCCCACGGCCCCTCGCCTTGTTGCTGCGATGCTGTGCCAATGTCCATCACTGTAGCGGCGCCCTCCATCACCCTGTACGCTCACGGCTGAGCCCTGCACACACAAACCCACAGTACAGGCAAGAATTTAACACATAAATTTACAGTGTCATGAAGACCACCAACTGAATTATGCTTGTCTCAGATGCTGATGACTATGTGTTTTACAGTAATGCATACTGTAGGTCAATCTATGACCTTTGGCTCAAAATAGACCATTTTTCAAATCACAGTACAATTAAACATGCTTACTCTAACATTTTAAATTATTGCTTCTAGACAGTATGTATCAGTGACACTCATCATATACACAGCACCCTCAAAAGAGCATAAACATGTACATATAATCATCAAACTGTAGTTACACGGCTTTATGCTGCCAATTAAATATGACATCACTGCTGTGATCAGCTTTTCGCAAGCAGGCAAAAGTCAAGTAGTAAAACACGTACGCACAGTACACACAAATGCACAACATATATACACTGACACACACAGTGATGAAGAGTAAATTATTAGATCAATAAATGTATGAATATGAGTACTATACAGTATATCAGCGTCTGACATCTTTACTACATTCGTTATACAAAAGCAGAGGACTCACTCTACCACTTTCTTGGTCTCTGTCTTTTAGACATACACAAATCCTCCCTGAGCCAAGTCCAGTTGTTCACCTGAGGTTTGACCTTCTGGGTTGGAGGAGTCATTTCAAGTTAAACTATCATCTGTACTCTAGTAAAACAAACAAGACACAGCATTAGAGCCTGTGCCAGTAGCTACACACACACCTCTGTATACTGAGACAGCCAGTTGTCCACAACTCACCTGCATCAATACAGTATGTGTGTGCTTCAGTATGTGTGCTTAATATCTGACAGTATTCCAAATTCCAGTGCTTTAGTACAATACACCTCTTCTGTGTTTAAATGTATGTGTGGTGCAGCTTACATGTGGTCATATTTATGTGCACTTTCCTGTGTCATGCTAAATTACCCCCCCCCCAACTGGTAATCCCATTAGGCTAGCTCAACAGACTAATAGGAGGAAGTAATGGGCCCAACTATATGTATCTAAGGGAACACTAATAAGCCGTGACACCACCCCCACTGTTAATTACCCCAAACTAGTCCAAATAAAGGAATCAACTCGGTTGGAGAAGGCACACACACAGTATACTTCATTCCACATCAGCAATACATGTAACCACAGACATATAACACTGCGAGTAAGTAAGGATTATTCAGTGACATACACCCCTCTACAAAGACTGTTTGATGACAAGTGTTGGATAGTGATAACAATGAGGAAGGAAAGTCTAAGTGTGTGTGTTTGTTTGAGTGTGTAATTAGTTGGTGGCCTCATGGAACTGTGTAATCATCTCCCATCATCACTTTCATCATCGAAGTCGTTGACTGTTTAACCCCTCTACATGTGTCTGTATGGACGGATAAGGGAAGCAGTTCTGTGTGTGTGTGTGTGTGTGCGCGTGCAAGTGTGCAAAGCTTAATTAGCTTGCAATTGGTATTCACGCGTGGTGACTGCAGGGAATGAGTTAATTGCAGTCCAATTCAAACGTTGACACACTTTCAAAGTTTTTTTCCCCTCTCCCTGTCGCCCTGACAGAAGCCAATGAGGGGCTACAGATCACATTTATTAAAGAAAGTGAGGAGACAGAATACGAGGAAGAAAAAACAAAGAGGTGTCTCAGGAAAAAGAGAAACACTGGTGAAGGTGAGAAGGTGAATAAAGTGAAAAGCATAAAAAAATTAAGTGAGAGACAAAACAAATGGAAGAACATGGATGAAAAAGATCTATGAAATGGTAAAACCAAATAGGCATAGTAGCCATTACGGTAGGAGTACACAAAATAAATTTTGGTGTACAAAGTTGTGCTATCAAACACGACTCTGTAAACAGCAGCTCGCTTGCTGTAGCTCCAGTTGTTTAATAACAGGATTGGAGCTAAGTGGAGATGCTTGTGACTCAGTGGGACCAGACAAAATTCACAAGTTCCTCAACAAAAGATATAAAGAGTAGGCTAATACTCAAACTAAGTTCCCAAAGTTAAAAAACAAACTTTGGCCAATGTAGCCATCTTACTGACCCCATTGTTCAGTGCTTTGTTTTAACTTTGTAAAGCACGAAGAGAAAATGCCAAATTCCAACCAGACTGCACCCGAGCTGGATTTTCTTGAGGCTGCATTAAGTCATATGAATGATTTATATTATTATTAGACTTTAAATGTCAGTTGTTTGTGCTTATATTCTTAAAAAGTACTAACATTTTACATACCTGTGGGTCAAACAAAAAGTATGGCCGTCCATTGTTCATCTGAATAGCCAGGAACACTTCATGGTGTCTCGGTGAGAAGGCACAGAGCAGCAGGCCGTGTGTGGAATGAGTCCTAAAACTCAGCTCAACACCTGATAAAAAATAAGACCAGAAAAAATAAATGACCTTACACTTATAGTGCTTTTCACTCAATGCCCTTTTACACTATTTGCATGTTCACTCATTCACAACCACAAGTGTCCACACACTGGTGGTATCACCGGGAGCAACTTGGGATTCAAAGTCTTGTGCAAGGACATGAAAGAAGCCAGGAATCACACTGTCAACCCTACAGTCAGGGGATGGCCTGTCCTGTTGTTAAGCAATTCAGATGCAATATACTGAACCTGAGGAAGTGAGCCGAGTTGTGGGTGCTTTCAAATACCATGTACATGTGTCTTTTTACAATTAAACAAGAAAAAGAAGGGATGTGTTAGTGTTTTTTCTTACATTTCCATTAAGTGTAATTTCCCAAAAGCATCAAAGCTCAAGCTGATTTCTGCCATAAGCCGAGTGTCTACGATAATCTTTCCAGTGAGATGCTTTAGGGAAAACATGAAGTTCAGAAGGCTACCCTGGGTGAGCAGACCTGCTTCCAGAGTTTTATCTATAATCTCTTGCTTTTATCTCTTAACGCAATCTTTCATTTTATATTATAAAAAAGCTCATCGAAGGTAACCCCTGAATTAACATACAGTTAGTGTGGTGAGTGTTACAAAGTCAGGAGTGTACTTCTACTACTGCATATGAAAGTTGTGGATCTTCAAAGACGATAAATAAACAACTTGAAAATATAATTTAAAAAAGTTTTAAACAATTTAAACATAGCCTCAATCATTTCATCTCTCAAATATAACAAACTATAAAACCCTGATGCAACAAATGAAATGAGAACTTTACAAATTTAGTACAGCATGAGAACAACAGTTATGAGGGATATAACTGAATATAACCTAATCTTTAAAGCAGTATCTGCCCAAACAGTTGCATCTACACAGCAGTCCTGCCTCTGTGCTGTCTTATGATTCTGTGGATCAGAGACTGGATTTTAATCCACTCCTAGATCCACATAGCGACATAGATCATACTATTTTATGTGTGTTTCTGCAGCTCTGTCCATGTCTATAGAGAACAGAAGTGTGGGAAGATCTGAGAAGCTGCACAGAGGCAGTTGTGGTTCATCAGAAGCCAGTGTTAGCAAAATAATTAGTGTGTGAATTCACTTAACATGGAGATAACTCAGACAGTTACATGGGAAGCTGAAGAAGAATGCAGATAAGCCAAAATCTCAGAGCTCCCAGTTTTTACACATTTGGAATAAAAAGCAATGTCACAGTAAAAACTGGCAAGAGCTTTAGCAACAGCAGCTACATGGATCAGAGGTTCATATTTGAGTGGCAAAAAAATATCTCTTTCAGTTTTCCTCTCCTTTGAGAGAAGTGGTGAAGAGATTAAGACTGATCCTAACAGCAGAAATTTCATCATCCTAGACAGGGGCTTCTTACTTTTGTCTATCATCATCTTACCTTAAGTTTTGGCACACAAGGTATCACAGGTTTTCCATCTTAGGCTAAGATGTTTTAGAAGATAAAATGGGAAAACTGCATGTGTAACAGAATGATAGGAAAGAACTGTTGCAAAAATGAGAGGTGAAAAGCCCCCTCAAACTGTCTTCTTGCAAAAGTATGTTGGCAATGTGCATATGCATTGCTTACCAGTGGTGCACAAATTCAATAGTTATAAACCAATTTCCATTTAAATAAATGTACAGCAACTGTGGTTGGGGTGCACAGCTACTGTAAGACAAGTTCTTTACATTGGACTTGCATTCTGTACATCAAGCAGATGTCATTTACATTCATGACCTTGTCTTCTTTTTCTTGTTCTCCATCATTTGCTTCCTCTGAATGTTTTTTCTCCCTGTATTTTCAATTGTCTTTTTACCACTTTCACCCACATGTTTGCTCCTTCCCATGTGTCCTACTTTCCTCCTTTACATTTCAAACTCTGGCGTAGACAACTACTGTATCCATTTTAAGAGAGTCCAGATAACGTCCTAGAGTGGGTGTGTGTGTACATGTATCACACACACACATCCTTGTTACACTAACTTATATTCATTTCCTGGAGACTTTGCCTAGCCTCACCCTAACTTTAAAGTAAGTCATCTCTCTAAACAATTCACCTCTTGTGAACGTACACTTGGTCCCCACAAGAAGGTGAGTCCCCATGATGTTAGTGAGCTCCAGGTTTGGGTCCCCACAATTTTAGAAAAACAAGGCCACACACAAAGTGAGTCTTGTACATAGGGGACAGGCCCACGGCACCCTAATGTAGCACACACTCAGACGATGTGGCTGTGGATAAGCTTATAAGGACAGGAGTTCACTTACATTACACTTACAAGCACAACTGGTGTTAAACATTTGAAATAACTCAGGTTATTTGCAATGGCTATGCAGTGACAGAGGTCAAAATGTGATTGCTGTACTGTTGGTTTTTTATAGACTTGACCATTTTGTTTATATGTATTTTCAATACATGCATAGGAAACAATAGAGAACGGTTGGCGTTTGCATATAATGTGCAATATGTTTGTGTGGGATTGGGAGGGACAGACTGTCGGAATATGCCTGGCCAAGGTGTTTGGTCCAAATGTTCAGACAATGCTCGTACTCAGCATCATTTCCTTCAGTTTTCCCCACAGGACCTGTGCTACTTCACACTGACAACCACTTTGGAGCCATCACCAGACAAACATGAGCACACATCACGACAGGTGACTCTACTGCGCATACAGAGTAAATGAAAGCCAACACACACGTACATACACACAGGCAAAACGCCAGCATGCACTCCATTACTTGAGATTACACACCAGTGATTCACAGAAAAATGTCCAGTCCATGATAATGTTCAATACACACAAACAACAACCTCACAAGTACAGCAGTACAAGTCATTGCTTTATATTAAATATGCAAGTTTTTTGATTTGATTTATTTATTCTTTCAAGCATGTAAAGACAGTTGATATATCAACACACATAATTTTACACATATCCAACAAATGCTAATCCAATATCAATTTGCTTATACCTAGTACATGCTTGAATGGAGTAGGAAGAAGTCAGACTTATCCAGTCCTACCCCATGAATACAGCAGACAAGAAGGATCTAATGGTACTTACTGATCTCTGGTCAGGTTCAGGTGATGAGCCCTTCTCTGCAATTCTTCTCCTGTAAGACAGAGTCCAGAATTATTTCTGAAAAACAGTTGCTATTTTTAAAAACATATCATCATGTTTAATGTTAATATCATAAAGCACAGACCACACAATTCCTCCTGAACTCCACATTTTTAAAACCTAAATTCCTTAGATTTCTCTAGATCTTACAGTGATACTTCTCTGTCAGCAACAAAGTGCATTTAAATTACGATTTTACTACATATCATCTCATAATACTGAGGAATAGTGAGAGTGATGAGTACATGAACTTATTCTTCAGGTGGCACAACAAAATCCATTGCGACCAACATTGGGGTTTGCTAAATCTACTGTATGGCAACTGTGTCAAGTTTCACTTTTCTGTAGTATATGAAACAAGATCTGAAATTCATTCATATGACTCAAGTGCCTATTTTGAGACGTACTGAATCGAAGAGTAATATATGATGTGTCGCTACCTCCTTGCTAACAGGGCACTCATCTCCTCCATGAGCCCTCCTCCTCCAGGCAGAGGGCCGTTGCCTCTGGCTTCAGATTTGGCCCCTCCAGCCCCTGGCATGGCTGCTGCCAGAGCGGCCGCCGCCT